GCCCACCGACAGTGCCCACGCCCCGCCCACTGACGGTTCCTGCCCCCTGCACCCCCTCCAGTGTCCGCCCACCTCCGACAGAGCATGCGCCCCAGCCCCGCCCCCCAGCCCCCAGGGCAGGCACAGGTCTGGGTGAGTGTGGAACCCGAAAAGAGGAAGGGCAGGGTGCAGGGGACATGCCTTCAAGACGACCCCTCCATCAGTGGCGAGGCGAGCAGCGGTGCCCTCAGAGGCCCTTAGGGATTTACTGTCGACGTCTGGCCAGCCCATCTGGTCAGTGCCCACCCAGCCCTGATGGTCAGTGCTCGCCAACAACGGAAGCGGTGGGGAAATGTGCCAAATCTAACCACTGGGACCCAACCAAATCTTCTGGCAAGCCACGTCCAGGTCTCCTGAGGTTCGCTGTTGATCTTCATGACGTAAACGTTAATGAAGATTAGACGCTCTAAGGCTAAACATGGACTTTAACCTACCTTTAGTTTAATGTCACAGAGTCAACCTTTGCTGAAGGCAATGAAATAAGCTACAACCTCACTAAGTCAGGTGCTGAAGAAGGGGTGACCCTGGCTCAGGGTCTGAATTAGGGATGGAGGGTCTGAGCCCAGGGAGACCCACTAGGTGAGCGATGCTGCACAGGAAGGGAGGGTGTGGGGCTGCAGGGGCTAGAGGCGAGGGGGACCCTTAAAAAATTATTTATCTTTGGGGTTAAAAAGAAAATTACACACTCATAGTGAAAAAAACTACAGGCAACAAGAGGTCGGCCCAGAGCGTGAGCTCAGGCAGCCCGGACCACCCTCCCAGGTCACGCTGGCGCCGGACACACTCCTGGGAGCACCCTGGGCGGCTTCACATCTCCCAATCCCTACCCTCTGTCCACCTCCGTTGGCCTCATCAGCTGATACTTGTTCAGCCAAGATGAACCTGACCCTCGTATTGCTTTCATGGCTTGCATTTGCTCATTAACAGACCCCTGAGCTCCTGCCACGGGCAGGCACTGCTCCAAGTGCTGGAGGCTGAGCAGTGAACCACACTGAGTCCCCAGCTTCATGTGGAGAGGGGCAAACAAGTGAAGGCAGAGCATCACATGAGGGAAAGACGAGCAGGATAAAGCAGGGGTGGGGATGGAGCGCGTGGAGGCAGCCTGGCACTGGCTCATAACGTGGGGCCTCAGGGCATCTAAAAAAGTGGCCTGGAAGAAGTGTGGGAGGGGGCTGAGAGCTACTTGGGGGAACAGCATTCCTAGCGGGGGGGAAAAGCCAGTGCAAAGGCCCAGAGGCCGATGTAATTAATCCCTTGGTGTTTCAGGCAGTCCTCTGTCACAAGCAGTGCAGTGGCAGATACTCCCACACATTTTACGCTGGGTCAGCACTCAGGGAGTAAATGAACAGAAAGGTCTTTGCTGTCCTGCCCTAAACCGGCCGCTTTCTCCCCGTGTGTCTAAAATGAACTTACCCTAAACTACAAAAGTATACATGGTTCTAAAAAACACAGAAAATGCACAGGAGGAAAGACACAATAAATTTCACCCCCGTTCTGACCTCCCCATCACAGCCAGCATCAATCATGCTCATCTTTCTCAATTTAAAAAAATACCTTGAGCAGTTTTAAAATAAATGTGACTGCCACGTGTGGAAGTCGTAAGGCGCTCTCTGCTGGGACTGTGACTCAGTCTGCGTCACATTCACGTCTTACTCCAGGGAAAACAGGTACTTTTTAAGCACCGAGAATTCCCGCACCTGGAACGGGCACCCCTTCCACCGCTCAGGGCCTGGCGGTTTCCCCACACAGGTCACCCAGCCATCTGGGGGGTCTGTCCTGAGCACCTCATGGCACACCGTGTTCTGAACAAGGTGTTTTCCCGCGTATCCCCGGCTACGAATGCTCCACACAGAGCCCACGGGGCGTGGTGCACAGGCCCTGGCCACCAGGTGGCATGGCTCACATCGCTTCTACAGCCCCTCGCTGGAACAAGGCCTAGTCGGGTCTAGAATTTTTAGGGAAATAATCTAAAGTAACATTATGCGAGAGCACTTCCTGCAACACTGCCTGCAGTGATGAAAGACTGCGCACCAAAAAACCCCGAGTACCTAAATAAAAGGGTCTGGTGGCAGGATCCACAGGAAGGAAACTTGCCAAGGTTTTGAGAGAAAAATTAGGGCAGTATTTGCCTGTTCTGATACGAAAAGATCACCACGCTGGATACTTAAGTAAATAAAAAGCAAGGCACGGAAAGAACAGGGCAGCGCAAGCAGCTGCTTGCACGTGCCAGTGACCAGAATGTGAAAGCAAAACCACCACCGACATTTTATTTGAGGATTATGTACAATGAATATGGTAACCCAAGTACTGACACCAGCATTTTATTGGAAGTGTTCAAAATTCATGACAGAAATCCTGAAACTGAACATTCAATACATTTCAAATATAAAAGTGTATCTAATACAAGACGTGACCCTGACCTCTGTGCCCTCTGCCCTGCCTGGCCTGACGAGCTGCACCCAGGGCTCAGGTGTGGCTGCTCCCTGCCCACCTGGGGGCCCGCCCCCACCCCCAGATTTACCCTGTTCTCGCCCTGGGGGGAAAGGCTGGAAGAGCTGGGGCAAAGATGGCGCTGGAGCCCCAGCTAGCATGGCCGTCACTAAGACACGTGGAGAAACCTCTAGAAATGTTCATGCCAAGGATTAAAGGGTTCTTTTGAAGGTTGTTACTGCGATCCGAGGTGGGGATAACTTTATTTGGCATACCCATTTGTGTCATTCAAAAAGAATTTTTTTTCAGCTAGGTGCTTTTTCAATCAGATAATCTACATGCCTCATAGAGTTATTCTGGAGAACGGAGGAGAAACTGTCACCTCTAGGACTGCGGCCCAGGGTCAGGGGAAAGAGAACTTTTCACTTTCTGCTTTTCTCGGCATTTAATTCTTTTAGCCTTTTACACGTAATCTTATCTGTCTCATGGGGGTTATCCAGTGAATGGAATTCCAGGGTGTTGGTGTTTCCTTCAAACTTTTCTGTTTAATTTTAAAAAGAAAATAAAGGAACAAATAAAACTGAACGTTAAATTTTAAAAAGATCTTAAAGGCAAAGCAGTTGACTCTGGCTTATCCTGTAACCGAGTTGGGGTGGCCCTGCCACTGCCCCCTGCACACAGCACCAGGCGCCGCTAGAAGCCACTGCTCCGGGGCCTCCTGACAGTTTGGGTTTGTTTTTAAACAGAAATGGGTTAAAATTTTACCATGTACTGGGATTATCTCTTTTCCCCTCATTACACTTACTGATGTGAGATATTTTATTAATAGGTTTATTTAACTAATTTCACCTGCTCAGAATAAAGCCATCGTAATCCGCGTCTTAATTAACAGCTGGTTCTAGTCAGTAGTCACTACCAGCGACGATTCTGCATCTACACTCAGGCCATTCGGCGACTTTAAACAATCATACGCTGCACCATTTCCCTACTTTTAAAACGGTTTACTTGTGCCTTGATTTTATGCCGTCTTTCTACCTTTGGCTGCTTTATTTTTCATCTGGATCCTCACTGAAAGACTTCACGTTTTGTCTTCCTGAAAACGACTCCGGTCTGAGCGACCCCCGCCGCGGCCCGCGCGCCTCT